AGGTTGTATATTTTGTTTCTTTGGAGTTAGGTAAGTTTCTTTTATTTCTACATCAGGGATGTTTTGTTTGTTATGTTGGCCTTGGCTCTCCCTGACGTTATACCTCAGTCTGAACCCACATCCCATCACCAGTATTAAATAAGACTGTCAGAGCAAACCCACACAGTCACAGGGAGAACACGTGAACCCCAGAGAGGAAGGCTCCCAGCCAGCCGGCAGATTCAAGTTTAGAGCCTTCTTGCTGTGAGGAAACAGTGTGAACCACTGCACCACTTGGTATCCATCTAGCGGGTGGAAAACAACTTGACATGTTTGAGGAATTGTCATATGTTTGCAATTAAAATCTACGAAACAGAAAAACACACTTAACTTGGTCATTCAACAACACATTTCTCAGATCGTGTTAAAAACCTCGGTTGATCTCTGCAGCACATGAAGCCCTGGCCCAACAGCGCCTGGAGATAATCATCCTCTTGGCTAACTGGATATCAAAGATCATTTATGTACATACATACTGGTTTGGCCAATAACCCATATTTACTGATATCATAAACATTTTCAGACTGTCTTTGAATGTCTTTTTTGTCCATGTGTGGAGTATTAATGCTGACCTGTACTCGTTTGTCTCTCCTAAAAACACAATTTCCTTTTCAAAAATGTAAGTTCAGCGCTCTCCACTAAGAATCGCTTCAGGTATGCTCTCTATGCCACTGTCTTACAGCCAGTTTGACCCATGTTCAGCTGTAGCTACTAGTTTCAGTGATAAACAGACATACTGTGAAAAAGTAGTTGCCCCCTTTCTGATTTCTTAGTTTTTTCTGACGTTTACAGATTTAAGATCAAACACTAAATATTAGACAAAGAGATCCTGAGTAAATACAAAAATGCAGTTTTTAAATTGACAATTTCATTTATTAAGTGAGATAAATTTCCTCCCCAGGGATGTGAAACACTCACAGTAATGCAGATAAATGGAGTAAAATCCTTATGAAAAAAGATCAAGGTTTTCTAATGATCCTTACATGAGAGTGAAAATTAATCAGCAGTCGGTGGTCACGTGATGTTTAGATACAAATAAGAGGCTTGCAGACAAACAGGGTTAGATTAGAAGAAATCTGCAAACACGTTTTCTAACTATAACCACCAGGATTAACCAGCTATAAATAAACTGTCTTATTTCAGCACGATGCACATGGATCACTGATTTTTCCTTCAAACTTCTCTGGCTTCAATCCTAGAACATTATATGATATAAACTATGTACTCAAGTGCATATTAGTTTTCACATTTCTACATGTGAGAGATTAATGGTGTATTAGGCAACTCAGCACATGAAACCACCTGCTTACAATGAAACTCGTCTTTAATCAAGAAATTCATGTATATTTCAATTTTAACATTAATGTTCTGGACAAAAGACAGTACTGCACTGCATTCAGCAATGGAAATCTACACTTGTACTTTGCCCTGTGCCTTGAGACAATGGCGGCGGCGTTTCATAGAGATACGATTATAACTGTCTCCGGTCACCCATTATGCAGCTGAGGTAAGGAAAGCCTGTGGAAAAGCCACAGCACCTTATAAAGTCAGCCTCCTCGAGTGTTACACCGTGCCGGAATAAAATTACTTCCATATGGGCGCTGCAAGTACTTACTGTTTGGACAGCATACGTACAGTGATCAAGGGAGTTCCTCCATAAAGCTGCATATTAAAAAGGTTGTGGGGGGGGTTTACAGAAGTAAAGACAAAATGATGGTTTGGACAGATTTGTTTCTTTATGGAAGTATAAACTTCTGCAGTTATGTTATAGCTTGTCTGAAAACACAGTGAAGGCTTTAAATGTGAGGACACAGGAAACACATGCTTTCAATATATCACTCCGTGTTTAATTGCATGTGAATTAAATATTTCTGATAAACGTTTTTGCTATAGCATGTGTAACAATATCTACAGCATACATTTCAGATTACTCAGTGAATAAACCCTTTAAATTGGGGACATTACAGATTATGTCAATTTTTATAGTGCAACTACAAGTGTATATCTGAACTAAATTTCCATATCAGTTCATGTAATATCACAAAAGCATCTCTTTCACATATACACAGAAGTGTTTTTAAAACATTAGTTCCATCAGGGGGATGTAGTGGATATGTCACACGTTGTACACAAACCTATAAAGCTATTCCAACATATAAAAAAAAAAAAAAGAGCCGAGTGGAAATATTCAAGGCACTTAGAATTATACAACAAATGAATTTACAGACAAACAGAACTAAATACAAGTTAACCAAGCTGTGACATTTCATATACAGTTGGGAGCCAGGACAGATCAGGTGAGCTAAAAGGCATATTTCTGTGTTATAATAGTAAAAACAATATCCTAGCAAACACTGCGTGTTGCCATTCATCCATAAAGTGCATCACATGACCTGTTCCAGGCCTAGTTTGAGACAAGTCAACATCCCCCGTAGCCATTATATCCTTCGTAGTCATCATGAAAGAGTGAAAACAACAGCTGCTCAGCACACTCGACCACACGTGAAACGTCTGCCTCTCAAGTGCTCTTAAGTGTAAAAATATGGCTTTAGTGGACGATTTAATGAATAACAGTCTTGATGCAGATAAAGAGCCAACAAAGCTAAACTGTGAGTTTATTAGTTGCCTGTGGCATTCACTTCTTCCTCAAATACCAGCCCGATGGTTTTGCATCCTAACAAGCTTTGAAGGCTTTGAAACGATGACTACGTTGGCCTTGTTTTCCCTCTTTTTCCAGCCCGTCAGGTCTTAAACATTAGGATTTTTCAGGTAAAAAGAATAGCACCGCTGTATACTTGAGGAGCTGTCACCTCTTTGTGTCTTTCACCCAAATTATATAGTTATAATTCTATAATTATACTCCTGAGTATCTCACCTGGTCGATAGTTTTATCAGCTGGGATTTTGAGACATCTGAAATAAAAATTCTGTCGAGGTTTCCTAGGATGCCCCAAAACATGACTAACGTGACTATTGCTGTAACTGCAATGCCAGTAGAAAAAGTAGCTGTTAGATCTGATATCTTAAAATCCACAGCAGCTAAAACCAAATCCTCATTCCTACATATGTGAGCAAAAATGCCATTCTTGTCCTTTAATCACGCCACAGTAGGCCTTGGAAAAAAAAAAAAAGGAAATCCAGAAGAAGTGCCAGGAGAGGTCTGGTGTAAAGATTTGTGAAATGACCTTCACCTGGAAAATTAATGCCTTCAAATGTTTATGCATATATGCAGGAATGTTTCTTGGTAACGACACGATTAGTATACATGTCGACCTTTACATTCCTTGGCTTTGACACAGTATGGTACAGACTAAATGCCCCCATCAGGACATGATTTATGACACATGGCACTAAAACAGAGTGGAATGTAGCTTTTAGATGCACCGGAAAGTGGAGACACAATGGCAATTTTCAAGACGGAAGGACCGTCTACCACAATAACAGTAAATGGCAGTACACTGCAATGAGATGAAGTACCTGCAGACCAATCGTTACCAATCCTCTGTCAAACACACCTGTTACCTGCTTATCCTGAGTCAGACTTTTATTTGAACAGCCACACGGGGGTGTCGTTTCCCTGGTTTATAAAGAGGGCCTCTCATAACAACTAAGATACCATAAGGCAAAGGACTGCAGCGAAAACTATTGAGATTATAATTCAGATTTCATATAGATTGTCACAATTGTGAAATCTGCCCTTTTCTCCTTTTTTCTTTTTTTTGGTCAAAAATTCAGACTTTGGCTTTGGGCTCTAACTCATGAGGTCTTGTGGATACACACTGGGTTCAAAAGTGAATCATCAGGACCAAGAAATCCAAACACACTGTCAGACAGATCCATTTAGTCCAAAGTCCCAACAAGGTGTTCAACATCTTCTGTAGGTGCCGGATAAAATTTCCCATGGTTTGTTGCTTTTAGTATACAACCATTCTCTTTTAAGTCCAGATCTTGAGGTATCATCCAACTCCATGACTGGACAATGAAACATCACTTGCCCTCTGACAGGTAGTAAGATGAGATGTGAAAGGACGTGGTAAAGGCAAAGTACAAATAAGAACACAAGAAAAACTAAAAAACAAACAACCCAAACAAACATGTGGACTAATGCTGCAGTGAGGAGGAGGAAAAGAAGGCAGGGAGAACAAAAAGAGATGGCGAGGAAGACCCGGGTTTATTGTTAGTGTTCTGAGTTCTTGTGGTAGAGCTGAGTGACCTGGATGACGGGAGGAGAGACGCTGAGCGACGGACCGCACCAACAGGCAGAGGATCGCACAGGCTGCACCTCACACCTGCCACTGGAGAGAGGGAAGTCAGAGCAGAAGAAATACACTGAGCACGTGACAGAAGGTAACGGGACGAGAGAACATCAGGCAACACAAAGACAGACAGACAAAGATCCAAAGAGGAAATGCAGATGCGAGAGACTAGAATAGCTCAAAGTGTGAGGCATTGATGTGGGGAGACCGAGACATCAAGTTATTGATGCCGCAGCACCAGAATACTGCACGTACAGGTCCCCTGAGAACACAGCGAGACAGGCTTGCTATCCAACTCTATATAGCATCTGTTAAAACACAAGTGATAACAGATAAGGGCATCAGGACTGTTTACATCCCGTCTACATCCTCAAACATCACGTGCACTCACAAAGCATTATATACAGTAGTACTTTTATAGAAGCTGTCAATCCAACAGTCGAGAATAGGAAGAAAGAAAAACCTGCACTCCCTCAAATCCAAACACCTACAATGGTCATGTAATGAACATACATCACCACGTGAAAAAGAGGCACAAACACCATTTGTTAGTCATATGTGATGCAGGAGTGCAGTGCAGCACAGACAGAAGAGAGGACAGGACGTTGGAGTACAACAAATACACACCACAGCTGGGGCAAAATCAATTTCAGGTCACTTGCTTTAAAACTAGACTATTTTTAAACACATCCTTTAACTCAGATAGTTGTCCCTTAAAAAGCATAATCCTGTGACAGGTTTAAATCAATATGTGGTTTGTTAAGACCGGACTTTGATCAGGAGACATTTTTCTGAACTACTTTTACTGAAAGTGAAATCACCCCAATCCGGAGAAACATCCCGACTCCGAGCACTTTAAAGACAGGTTTGTTTATTTTTCAAATAAATCTTAATACAGCACTTACATGTAATGTGTGCAGCTCCGGGGAACACGGGAATTAAACGCACATTTACCATGTGAGCGCTGCACTTAGACCGACTTGAAAGCAATCCGAACCCATCCTTAAACACGCCAACATCATTAAACATGACATCTTTACTGTGCAGTTAGCAGTGGGATGCATGTTATTGGCAAGAAGAACAGAGTGGGGGGAGGAAACAGTATGCCACAGTGTTAGCCTGCTGAGCTGCAATTGAAAGTACCTCATATGTTATGGGGCTCTTTATTTTCACATTGGGGCAGCACTGCTGTGAAATATGAGAGTGAAAAACAAGTGAAAACATTTTTTTTAAAAAGAAAAGGAGAAAGTGGAACAAGGTTTAGAATATTAATGATAATTATCTTCTCCTTAAACCAGAAACATCTTCACAGACATTCATACGCCATTTTTTTTTTTTATTACCATAACTACATTTACACACTAGTGTGTGCCGTCTTTATGACTCTCGTGTGGGTCTGAAACTCATCACTGAAACGTTGACATTTGTATTTCTTGATTTCAAAATACCAGAAACATAACAACAGCCAGTATTTGGTAAATAAGGTCCAATCCTGGAATAAAAAACAACATCTGGGCAGTGATGAGAACCACAGTTCAAACCCACAACCCACAACTGTAGTGAGAAAACCGTGCAAACACCAGAGTCGATTTCAGTGTTCATTCCCAACAACTGAACAACTTCCTTTCTGCGTGATGTTGATTTTTATTTTTCGTGTTTCTTTAAAAGTGTAAACATCACTCCTTTTTGAGCATAAACATTGTGTAGATTTATAGATATTTATGACAACTTGATGTCTTTACTTTTTTGTTTTCTGTCTATTTACATGTTTGAAATTTAACTCTTCTACTGACAGTAAAGAACATTTTTTAAATTCTGATATTAAAACGGTTTTCTACTTGCTTAAAAATGTGAAAACCTTTTCCATGAGGAGGAAAGATACACCGAACCTTGCACTCTGTGAGTCTTACTCCTATGAGATCAGTAAATACTGTCATTTAATTAAATTAGGTTGTAGAGGATGAAGTAAGAGAGGTGCACACTCTTCAGGGCCTATAAATCAAGTTCTCTGCTGTGCAAACCGTTTTCACCCTAATCAGTCGCAGAAAACTGCACGTCCTCAGATAAGACAAATTCTACTGTGGTTTTAATAATGAGCTTTTGAGATTTTCAGTCATCTCCAGTTTACTACATTAACTGCAGTTGTAAATCCAACACATCATTTATTCATTTGGCTTCAAGGCTTCCAGCAGTTTATGAGCCGTGATGCCTTTAACTTTCCTGATGGTCTTATGTGGGGTTTTATTAACTCCAGATTATCACGAAAGACAAAAAACATGCAAGTTTTGTGCAAGACGGACAAAATCAAATGGACTGAACTGCCTCGCAAGAAAGCCTGTTAACCTTACGAGAATGCTCCTTAAGGTGGTTTAAATTCACAAATGAACCTTGCCCCTCGACCTTTGATCCACTTTTAAAATAAATGGAAAATCTGCTTTAACTTCGATGTTGTGGCAGCATAAACAGATATAATTCTGTGGAAATCACATGAACTTTGGTTGGTGTCAGGAGCACATTAGAGGAGTAGTAGATCAAACCTACTCCTTGTTTTATCGTTGCCATTTGTGGTTTATGCGAGCGTCTCTTACCCGGTGTCTTCAGGGATGTCCTGATCGGCCTCTGCAGCAGATGACTCCACATCTGCACTGCTCTCACTGCCCTGAGCTGACAGTCGACATGGAGACTCTGGACTAACACACTCATCGCTGCAACAGAGATTCACACACACATCCAAAAGGTCATTCTCCTCTCACTTGTGAGACTTTTGTGAATCTCTCTAAGGATGCATACGGTTGTGTTTATCTACTGACTTGATATGCTTTTCCAGTAGTAGGATGGCTTGCTCCCTCTCCTCCAGTCTCCTCTTTAGGGAGGCAATCTCCTTTTGCTTCTCTAGCAGCTCCTTCTGTAGACGATAGTTGCTCTCCTCCAGAGTCTCACAGAACGCCTAGAAGGAGGGGAAAATGAGGAGCAGAAAATATTTACATCTTTGGTATATGGTCAAAATACCATATAGATAACAACAATGGGGTTTTCTTCAGAAGTTCGTGAATTGAAAAGGCCCAGCGGGCTGTGAGGTCTGTGCCAAAAGCTTCAGCATGCATTTGATGCAAATGGAGAATTTTGTGTTACGTTACTGATCCTCGTCCTATTTTGTAGCCAGCATCCTTCCAGTTTCACGTTTTTGGCTAACAGAGTGACTGAAGCAGAATATTTCAACCCCCATATTTAACAGTGGACAGCACATTATTTTCATCAAATGCAGCTTTGTTTA